TTGGAGCCAAATCATTTAAAGGCAGCCTTTCTCTTCTCTGCCCATGAACACAAGCTTAGGTGAAAAGAAGGAAGAAAAAGAACTCTGAATTGTCTACACAAGGGGACAAGTTGAGAAAACATTTAGAATTTATGTCAAGTTCATTGCATCTTGGTAGAAACAGGAATCAGCCTAATATAATAAAAGCACAAGGAGTGCTCTCATGGTATCATTTAATCTTATCTGTACCTAGCTTTTAAGGAAGAAGTACTAAACATTATTTAGTATAAACATTGTAGGGCTTCCCTGGTGGCGCAGTGGTTGAGAGTCCGCCTGTCGATGCAGGGGACGTGGGTTCGTGCCCCGGTCCGGGAGGATCCCACATGCCACGGAGCGGCTGGGCCCATGAGCCATGGCCGCTGGGCCTGCGCGTCCGGAGCCTGTGCTCCGCAACGGGAGAGGCCACGACGGTGAGAGGCCCGCATACCGCAAAAAAAAACCCACACACACAAAAAACCATTGTAGATATCATTAAAATCAAATTAAAAGATGAAAAACATTGGCGTTTTGAGAAGCAAAGGACCTTGTGGAGGTGAAGCCAGGATTAGAAGGCATGTTTGGCATCCCACGACTGTCTAAATGGATGTCCATGCCCTCTCCACTACACGAGGTGGTTTTCTCTAAGAATAGAAAAATTATATTCTGTTCTCCAAGAAACAGAATGGTCTGGAAAAATTGAGACAGAGATGAACTAATCAGAATTTGAATAAGAATCCACTTGTCACTCTATTTAAGACATTTTTTTTTAATCTTTTACCAAAAAGAAAAAAAGATCCCCAAACATGTAGGATTGGTAGTTGAACAGTCTTCTAAGATATATTCCTAATTTACCAATGCATGTCCTCTTAATGCTTCTCTGCTCACTCTGCTTCATTAATTCCAACTCCCTATCCACCATCTTATAAATGGGAGCAGTAAGTTACTGGTAACCTAACAAAATTCATTCAGTATCTACATTGCTTCTCCCATAAAGTTCACTAAGTTACTGAAATACAAAGTAATCTCGCTTTTCCTTCAGTCTTCCAAATGTAATACTTGTGAGTTTATAGGAAAGACAGTTGGAACCAGAAAACGAAATAGTATCAATTACTAATATTTCCCATTCTCTGCTAAGGCTTGTCTTATCTGAAGCTTGTAAGGTTATTTAATCTTTTCCATCATCTCAGGGAGAAGAAAGCCTGGAAAATCCTAGTCATTCCACAGTAACTATCAGTGAGACTTTCCATAACTAACTGGATGCAAAATAAAAATCTTAAGAAGTTGATCCAATTCTAAAACTGCTTCTCAATTTATAAATAAATATGAAGAGACAACCCATCCATATTTTCTTCAAATAACATCTGGTTTCTTGGCCAGACTGCTAATACCTGAAAAAGTTTCTGAGTTTGTTCCAACAAATCTACATTTAGAGAGCTTAAAAACGCATTTATGCACTAAACATTCTTTTCTACATCTGACTTAGGGCCAGAGATGGGACTGTGAGACAGAACCTTGCCAAGAAATTGGAAAGATGGGGAATAAAATGGCCTTCTGAAAGCTAAACTGTGAAATCAACACTTGATGGATCAGGGCAAAGAAATGAGAAACCACCACATGGACAGAGGGAACTATATTCAGTTGTCCTGTAATAAACCATAACGGGAAAGAATATGAAAAAGAACATGGATATATGTATGTATAACCGAATCACTTTGCTGTACACAAGAAACTAACACAACATTGTAAATCAACCCTACTTGAGTTAAAGAAAGAAAGAAACAAATCACCACATGGGGACAAAGAAGCTTCTAGGCCAGCAAGATTTGGCTGTGACCCCACTAAAGATATAATACACATATCTGGAGACTATATTAACTGATCATGGAGTCATAGAAGAAGGATTGCTAAGACCACCGGAGCAGTACCCTCCAAGCCCCGTGCACAGCGGAGGGAGTCTGGACCAGCAGCATTGGGGTAGCATAGAATCAGCGACAAGGCACCACTCTGATGAAAATGATGCATCACTTTATCTTAGCCTGATTACGCTGGGCTGGCCTGCCTTATGCGTGATGGAAAGCTCAACATTGAGTACACGGCCTAGCCTAGAGCAGGCAGTCGTTAGACTCCATGAATTTGCTCCAACTCTTTGCTCACAACTTCCTGATTAGAATTTGGCTCTCCACATAGGTCTGCCTACAGGGAGAGAATGACCTAGTCAGATTTGAGAATTCTGGCCCCCATGCCAGCTGCAGCACTCACTGAAATATACAGTGTAACATTTGAGCTTGTTTGCTCCTAGTCTGCTCCCAAAGGAAGGGCCCTTGAGTGTGCTGCCAGATCAACTGTCTGAGCCCACAGGGCTGGCAGGGAGTCTCTGGGCCATGGTACATTCACCAGGATGGCGATGATGGCGGTGGCCATGGGGATAGCTGCGGCCGCATGCTGAGCACCTTTTGTACTATGTGTCAGACCACTGCACTATGTGCTATTCATACTTGAACTCATTTCATCCCCACAACAAAGCAATACATTAGGCATTAGTAGTATTCCCATCTAGTAACTTACCCAAAGACCCACACTAGGAATCTGAATTCAGAGGCATATTTATCTGACTCTAAAGCCTAATCCCTTACGTTGTGAAAATACTACCTTGGGGCAGGGGAGCGGGGGCAGCCATGAACCCTATCCTTGTCCTGGCCAAACTCCTCTGTGTCAGCAGTGTGCTTTGGGCCATCTCAGCCCACTTTTGACATGACTACTCATCAATACGCCACCACCGTACAAGGCTTCACAACAACAAACACAGAGTAGCGCTTGACCCTTTATCACAAGTGCAGAAAGCCAAACCCCATCTCAGCGAACAGCATCCCCATCTACTCATGCCATCAGTACTGTAAGCTTCAGAAGCCAAAAATGACTGTTCCCTCCCCCTCATCACCCTGCAGCATAGCATCTAATCATTTGCACCTCCTTCAGTAAGCCTCTTCGATATCCTCAAGACTTCCCTAATGCGTCCACTTCTCACCATCACCATTGCCACTCCCCGTCTTTCACCTGGCTCTCTCTACAGACATCTCCTAGGTCATGTTTTGGCTTCTTCTCTTGCTTTTCTTTATTCTCAACCATACAACCAGTTTTCTTTATAAAATCCAATCACGGCATTCCACTCCTTAAATATCCTTCCCTGGGTCCCCAACCTCCCGCCATACTCCATGCTTGAGTCTTAATAGTGATTGGCCTGCAGTTCTTGGAATATTCTCAGCCCTGCCTGTGGCAGGATGTCCTGGAATACACCCACATCCCCCTGGACCAGTCTCCCCTCCATGCCTCGTTCCCTCTAATGGTCAGCTCGTCCGGGGGTTTTGGGACTCGCTCCTGTCCCACCTCCTCCAGGAAGCCTGGGTTAGGTGCCTGTCTGAGGTGCTCTCGTGCCCAGCTCATCCTTCACCCCACTATGGGAATTCTTACTTACATGAATCTACCCCAGACCATGACCTCCCTGAAGCCCAGGACTCACTCTGATTATACAAAATGCCTGACACAAAAAAATGCACGTTGAAAGAACGAATGAACGGACAAGAGCCTGTTACATCACAGATGTGAGAATCCACTCAGTTTCCTCAAGTCCCAGCTCTTGATCTTGAGAAAGCTGTCTAATCTCCCTCAACCCCAGATTCTCTGTCCGTAAACTGGAGATCATAAAACCTGCATTGTCAAGTTGTTGTGAGATTTAAACTAAATCATATGGTATGTGGAACATCTTCAGCACCATGCCTGGTACATAACAAGTACCCAAATGTTGGTTGTTGCTATTATTTTTACAAAGACCTTCGACACTTGACAGAAAACATTTATGTTCTTGAAAGAGAACAGGTACCCCCAGTCCACCACGATGACTCGGCTGCCCCAGGCCTCCTCAGCATTCATGGTTTACAGTCATCATGCACTGTTTTGCATTCTCGAATATACTCCTTTGAAGGGTTCTGGCACTTCCATACTGTCTTCAAGATGCCTAATACTTGGACAAATGCTTTTAAATGATATCAAATTTGCCCCACATCTTACTGCCCACTGGAGCCTTAAACTATGGGCATTCACATAGCACCTCCTAATGACGCAAATGCCATACGAAGAGGCCAGCATAACCCTGGGAAGAACACACACAGAGAAACAGGAACGGGGGGCAATTGACAGGTGGTGATCCCAAAATAGAAATCAGGTCTTAAAGAGGTCAGAAGCAAGCTGAGGTTTCAGAAAGAGAGTGTCCTTTGTCACATGAGATTCAGAAAGGTGAGTGATCAGACCAGTGGTTAAAAAACATTGTAGCATAACCCCTCTGTGGAATATTGTGCAGCCATTAAAAATAGGTAGGGGTCAACTAATAAAATGGTAAGTAAGAACACATAAGAGATCGTGTTATATAAAAAAGATAGACATAGGAATTTTGATTACAGAATGTAAAACTTGCTTAAAAGAAAATTTAAGGCAGTAGACCGAAATTTCAATGGCTATGACACAGTGATGAGTTTATTTTTTTTAACTGATTCCACACACCTTTTGCAGTGTTGTCACATTCCTTTAAAATGTTAAAAAAAAAAAAAAAAATCTGCCTGTCGAACTCGCAGATGGCTCCTGGAAGAGCTGAGATAATGCAGAAGACACGCCCTAGGCTGAAGGGGGCACCAGGAGCCAGGAGGCTGACTCAGCAGCCTTTAGAGCATGGGCGAACCTGGGCCTGGAGCGCCCGGCAGGTCATTTTTTCACCGGCCACCGCCCCGCGGGGTCTCACTGAGTGCCCGCTAGCAGGCCGCCCCCGGTGGGCCCAGCCGCCACCCAGCCCCCGACTGTGTTGTCCCCAAGCGATCCTCTCGGCGAAGTTTGTCTTGGAGAGGAGGGAAGCGCCGCGAGCGGCTGGAAACCCCGCGACCTCGCCCTCCCCGGGCCTCGCGACCCCACGCCCCGCGCCCCGGCGCCCCGCGTACCTCTTGCAGGGGATCAGCGCCTTCCTCTCGTCCAGCACCCGCACGCGTTGGTTGAGCCCGTCGTAGGAGAGCAGGGCGCGGCTGTAGCGCCCGGTGCTCTGCCGGTACAGCACCTGACGCCCCTCCCACTGCTGCGGCGCCTGGCACGGGCGCTGAGCCCCCGGGGAGTCCGCGGCCCCGGGCCCCGGGTCCGCCGCCGCCGCCGACCCCGCCGCCCCCAGGCCGCAGAGGCCGCCCAGCGCCCAGACCCAGAGGCCGCCCAGCAGCCAGGCGCCCAGGGCCCTGCGGGCCACGCGGAGGAGAGCGCGTCCCGGCATCGCCGCCCGCCGCCCCCCGAGGCCCAGCCCGAGCCCGAGGGGGCGCTGAGCAGCCCAAGAGAAGCGCGGCGCGGAGCTCTCTCGCACTGTGCCCGAGTGCCGTCTGGGCCAAGTTGCTGCCGGTCCCGGCGGCGGCCTCTACGGCCCTGGGGATCAGGCCTGGGATCCGGGCCCTGGGCCCTGGGGAAGCTCCGGTGAATCGTGCGGGAGCTATTTGTGCCCGGGCCGCTGCCCGCTGCAGCTTCTGTTTTCACTTGCTCTCTGCTGCCAACAGGAAATGCAGTGGCAGCGGTGCCACTAGCATCCTGAAGGGCATCCGTGTTTTAAAGGGGGGCGGTGCGGGGGGAGCGATGAGAAGGGAAATGTTTCTCTGCTAACTTGAGTGTTCAACGGGTAACCAGCTCTGCGCGACGAGCTCGAGGTCAAGGTCGGGAAAGCAGGACCTCAGCACTTGCTGTGCCGCAGGTACCCTGTCCCTTTATCAAAACTGCCACCTGCTAACTCCAAATTAAAAATGGAAAAAAGGGTTCCTTCCTGAAGAAATGACACCAGTCATTTATCATGGCCGTCTGGCAGCCCCCCACTCCCCGTATAGAGCCTGGGGGACTAGAAAATAGGCCCTTGCTCTTGGGCTGAGGACTCAGGGACATGCCTGGAGGCCATATTTGCGGTGAGACTGCTCCCCTCACTCATCACTTGACAATACCACAAGCCTAGAGGTTTGTGTGTCTGGGAGTTTAGGATCATCAAGAAGAAAGTTAATTGGGTTTATGTTGGTGTAATGTTAGGATCTAGAGTATGGAATCAAGAAGAAAGAAAACAACTGTTTTAAAACCAAAAACAAAGCCTTGCTTTCCAAGTTTATAGAGTCTTTTCACTAGATCTGCCTTTCAGGGATGAAGAAGCATGAGGCAGGTGAAAGTGGGAGAGAGCGTTCCTGTATGAGAGTCAGCGCGGCAACAAGAGAAAATGAGTGTGATATTTGGGTTCAAGTATGAAGCAGAAGATAGTCCGGAGCCAGATCACTCAAGGCCTTGAAAGCCATTTTAAGGATTAGTTATTAATACCGGGGTTGTTGGAGCCATCCATAAATGTAAAGCTAGGGAGAGCATCATCAGGGATATGCCTTAGGAAGCTCCCCCAGGTCAGTGTGGAGGACGGCAGGGCAAGGCAGAGGGCAGGGAGAAGGAGGAAGATACTGCTGCAATCCAGACGAGAGCTGCTGTCTGAGCTAAGGCCATGGTTGTAGAAATGCAGAGGGTGGAAGAGTTGGGAACAAGAGAGAAGGATTTAGACTCGGAGGAAGAGGTTTCTGGTTTGGACCACTGGGAGTTCAGCCCGGAGTGAGAGAAGATAAATTCATTTTAGGGTCGGCTGATTTTGAGTTGACTGTGGGATATACAGGTGGAAATTCCCAGGGGACAGTTGGATAAACACTTCCAGAGACCAGCAGGCCTAGAGGTCTGGATTTGGAAGCCACTGACATCTAGGTGGTCCCTGAAGCCAGAGAGGGGAGTAGCACAGTGGTTTTCCACCCAGGGCAACTTTGTCCCCCAGGGGGCAGTCGGCAATATCTAGACACCTTATTGATTACCACACTGGGATAGGGGGTAAGCTGCCCGTGGCATCTAGTGGGAGGAGACCAGAGATACTACTAAACTTCCCACAATGTGCAGGACAGCCCCCAGCACCACCACCACTCACCCAGTAAAGAATTATCCAGCCCCACTGTCAACAGTGCCGAGGCTGAGCCAACCTGGAGCAGCAGGGGGTGTAGAGAGTGAGAAGAAGGCTGAGGATGGAGCCCTAGAGAACTCCAGACATTGAAAAGATGGGCAGAGAAACAGGCCCTGGAGGAGACTGAAAAGGAGTTACCAGAGAGAAGCCACTGACCAGGGGAACTTCCCCAGTTACACGAGCTTTTGGCAAATCAGTGTCAAGTATGAGGTAATGGATTGAGTGCTAAAGCCGGGCAAGAAGATGGAGACTGGTTGACAGACTCTCCGGATGAATCCCTCAACACTGCCACCCTCTCCTAGAAACACTAAGGCCAGACTACCAACAGACCTAATGGGATAAGCAAAGAGCTTTGTGGGGAAGGGTTCTTAACTTCTCCTCTCCCTTTCTTAAAGGACATGCCATCTGCGAACATCAGGGAGGCACCTGAAACGTCACGATTTGGTACTTGCATAGCTAAACTAATGCAGCAGGTTCAAACTGGCTGCAGAAGTTGGAGTCCTCCCCAGGTTTGCCCTCCTCAACTAACTCCAGGAAAAGGACAGGGAGTCCAGCTGTTCCTCAAAACTGTATCTTCTTCCCTGGTAGGAACTTGGGCTGAAAATCTTTTTCACTAAGCCAGGCATTTATACCTACTGGAGTTTACTGCTGAAAATGGCTTGAGATCTCATCTGGGCTATCCCCCTCGCTTGATATTTCACTAGCCTGCGCTGGCATTTTTGAAGCTTGAGATCTGTTTTACAGAAAACTGGACTACCTCTCTAGATTGGCCTGCCTGTATTTGGTCACCCCGGCCTTCCCACAAAATAGAATGGGACTCCTTGGGTGAATCCTGAAATGTATTTGTCTCATTTACCCTTTCAGCCTACCGTGTTTGATTCACGTTCCTGGGGGGGGAAAAAATAAGATCATGCATTTAAAGCACTTAGCACTACCCCGAGCCCATTGTACATGCTCAGTAAATGTCAGTTGTGCTTTTCCTTTCTTGGGCTATTTTAATCCTCAGTCCTGATCAGGGTCAAAACTAAACTAACTTTGTGGATCTAACTAAGCTTTAGAGACAAAAAAATCTGTCTGCCTCAAGTTCAGATTTCCAGTTAAATCATGTTTTTAAAGATTAACATTCAGATAACATGTTTTCATATTCTAAGGCCCTAAGAAAATATCATATACCAGAAATCCTCCAGCCTGAAGATTGATGCACACTTGGAACAATAAAGCCTCCCTTTTCTGTGGATAGCTGAGCCAGCAGTGGATTCTACTACCTCTTTCTAAGAAAAATAAAAGAGAAAACAAAACATACATCATTGTTCTCCATGGTACACAGCTTCTTACTTCATTTAAATAACAGTTTCAAAGCAAATCAAAAATCAAGATGTTAGACTGCTGGGTTGGAAATCACTTGGCATGAAGGAGGAAAAAAAAAAAATCTTTCAAATTGTGGTATCCAAAGTCTTCTATGTTTTCTGCTTTCATTCACGTCGGAGAGAATAGGGAGTCAGGAGAAAGAAAAGGGGATGTTGGTGGATGCAAGACGTTCTCAAACTGGAAGATGCTGTTACACCTTCAGGCAGTTCTGTTCCTAGAGCGGGTACAGATCAGAGGCCATTCTGGAAAAACTTGAGCCCAAAGTAACGTCTACTAGCCACAATAATAACAACAAAAACAAATTCCATACAACTCGCGGCTGGGAGGGGGGCGTCCTTCCCTTTGCAGCTGCACTCTCCCCGTCCCACCCAATAGTCTCACCGCTCAGCGCTTCTCATGCCCCCTACTGGAGAAGGCAAGTATGTTTCAGAGTTAAAGAGCAGCAGAAGTTCCCATTTCCCTCCAACTCTACAGTTGGGGAACCCATAAGGCAGAGGGCACAAAGTTCAGCTTTGACTGGAAAGGCGGTCCCTCCCTCTCTTGAAATCCTCTCTTGCACCTTCTTGGATCCGGTGTCCAAAACGACTGCCAGAGGCTCTTTTTCTTGGTCTGGAGAAAAAGGACTGGCCAGACTAAAAAGGACGGACTTTGGGGGAATGCAGGATTCCAGCCCTGGGCTGCGGCCCGGAGGAGATGATGTCACCACTTCTGCAAGAGAGGGCCGCGGGTGGGGCGGCCGAGGGGGAGCCCGCGCCGCGCCTACAGCTGCCAAGGGAGCGTTCCCGAGCCCACGTCAGGGGAGGTGTCGGGATAAATAGGTCCCGCAATGGCCGGGACTGGCTGCGCTCGGAGCTGCCGGGACGGGGGCTGGAGCTACCAGGGCGGCTTCACGCCCCGGAGGCTGAGGGCTGGTGCTACTCGTGCTGTGCGCGTCGGACGGCGTATACTCCCAGCCGGCCCCCGCGGCCCAGCGTTGCTGCCCACGGGAGTTTGGGACGAGCACATCCCCTGTGCCCTAAAGGACTTCCTCCTTCGGGAAGGGAGCGAGAAAGCCTAGGGGGACGGGGAGAGAAGGGCCCGTTCTGCCTGTCGGGGTGGCGGCGCGGGAGAGCAGTACCATGCTCCTCTCCATCCTGACCGCGCTCTGCCTGTGGCTGCGCCTGGCGCTGGGCGTGCGCGGCGCGCCGTGCGAGGCGGTGCGCATCCCCATGTGCCGGCACATGCCCTGGAACATCACGCGGATGCCCAACCACCTGCACCACAGCACGCAGGAGAACGCCATCCTGGCCATCGAGCAGTACGAGGAGCTGGTGGACGTGAACTGCAGCGCCGTGCTGCGCTTCTTCCTCTGCGCCATGTACGCGCCCATCTGCACCCTGGAATTCCTGCACGACCCCATCAAGCCGTGCAAGTCGGTGTGCCAGCGCGCGCGTGACGACTGCGAACCCCTCATGAAGATGTACAACCACAGCTGGCCCGAGAGCCTGGCCTGCGACGAGCTGCCTGTCTACGACCGGGGCGTGTGCATCTCGCCCGAGGCCATCGTCACTGACCTCCCGGAGGGTGAGGCCCGGGGAAGGACCGAGGGGGGTGACGAGGCACCCTGGGCTGTCGCTGCCACGTGAGAACCCGACGGCCACACCTACAGCTGCCAGCGGGTGGTCGAGCAGCCCCCCATTCCACTTGGGAGAGCTGGAGGAGGTGGGAAGGGCTGTGACTTGACTTCGGGAAAAGTCTGCTTTCTCTACTGGAGTTTTGGGAGCTAAGGAGCACCATGTCCCATAAGGAGGGGCGGGCGATTTTGCTTAGATAGGGGGCCATTGGGGACATTTTCCTTTATAGTAATAAAATAGGGTAGTAGCAGTAGTAAACAAGTGTATAGGGTTTAAGGTGGATCTGAGCCAGCTTTAATTACTTCACATGTTATCATTTAATTATTAAAATA